ATGTGGTGGGAGATTATTGGGTGGCATCACTGGGAGCAGAGAGGGACCATAAATAATCATTACTGCCTTGTGAAGCACAAAGGACTTAAGAAAGAAGAATGAGCTGAAATTTTTGTTTTATTTTTTCTTCAATTCTGTCAGTGTTGACATTTGACATAGGGCAGGGGAAGGGCTGTAAGCAAAACATAATGATCATAAGCAACAGCAAAATGTTGAATGTGAATTGTCTCATCATGTGTTAATGGTACTCTGACTACTGAGTCAGTAGGACAGCCACTGGACATTGTTTTTTAAAGAGGAAAATATGGCTTAGTGAAACTTGGTATTTGATTGTTGCAGAAATTTTATGTGAAGCAGTCAGTGTTGCATTTGCCTTGGAATAAAGCACAGGTATACAGATATATCTATATATCTGTCACCTCTGCACTCTAATACCTAATCAGTTAACTGCACTGGTCATGCTGTGTTCTATTTACGATCATCTTTCAGATTAAATTTTCTTTTTTTCCTTTTTCTGATGGTCATTTGAAAAATGTGTATTCAGAAATATGTTCCTAATCAAAATGCTGTACATAATTATGATACTTGGAAGCAATTTATCCAGGAAAACACACAAGCTGTGAAGCAGTTCCATGTATCCAGGCTGACATTCTTTTAATGGTCTGTGCTTAAAATAATTAGTGAAAACTGTTCTGCTTAAAAACGAAAGAGGAGATATAGCTGTTCTTATGTGGGATATGAAAGTATCTGAGTAAGGTAGAGTTAGTACAGACATTTATATGTTTTTGTTTCTTTTCCTAATTCTGAAATTTTTCAACCATTTATGATTCTGTATCCTGGCTGACTTAGCAAAGTTGAAGAGAACTCTGACTATTTCATTACAAACTTCCTTTTTGATTATTGTAAGTGAAAATCAGTTAAGGCAGGGCATGCAGCTGGGATGTACATATTGAGGACTTTCTAGGCAACCAAAAATAAATCCTGCAAAGCTCAATACATGCCTATTCTACCTTGAAGACATTTCTTCAGATAACTCATTATCTCATAATCCTTCGTAATGTACATAATGAGAAAAAAAAAAAGTATACAGATACACAGAAAAGAATCCTGAAACTCACTTCACTTTCAAAATTTCAAATCAAGAAGAAGGGAAGAGTTAAATCAACAAAGCCATTTGGTGTTGTTTTTTTTCCTTAAGAAAGTGGTAGCACTGCACAGGTAGATTGTACCAAGGAATTTCGAGCTTTGTGCTGTTTCTCTGCAGATTTTAGAACAGGATCTGTGATTTAACACTGAAACATTTGCACACCTGCTCCTTGCAACCCCCACCCCCTCCCCTTTTCTGGATGTACGTGATAAATGACAGATCCTCTCCGATGATGTTCATGTGGTACTCCAAAATAATTCTGCAGACATGGTAAAAGCTTTTAGAGACTGTAAAACTGATTCTCTCTTCTGTAGCTCTTTTCATCTTCAAAGCACTTACCAACATTAACTAATTAATCCTCACAGCATCCCTCTGAATTAGATATCATTGCCATTATACAGATGAAGGAATTGAAGCAAACACTTTGTGACTCGCTCCTGATCACCAAGAGGGTGACAGAGATGGAATTAGAATGCACAGACCTGTGCACTCGGGTTCTCTGCTCCAGCCATCACACCTTTCCTCTCCTGAGAAATGCACTTATTGGTACCCTCACTGTAGCTGTTAATGCAATCCTGTTAGGAATTGCTTGGATGGGAAATCTGTTTGTAGTCAGACAGGTTATTATCTTTTTAAACCCTCCTTCTGCCGTGTTTTCCTGACTGGTCCAAGTTTGTTGAAGGATCAGTCTCTCTTGTAGGATCACTGTCTGCTGACTGCAAACTTCAAAATTAAAGAGCAAGCAATTGTGATGTTTAGGCAGGAAGGAGAAATGGAAAAATAACCCTCATTCCTCTGACCTGAATATACTGATCTGTTTATCCAACTCCTTAATGTCATACATTTGAACCTAAAAACATGCAAATTTACCGTATTAGTGTAATGAAATAAACTACATCCTCCAAGTCCAGAGGACAGAAGTTCCAGCTATGATTGAGGTCTCTCCCCCCTCCTTTAGGGATGTTTTTTCACCCTCTCGGAGGCTGATGAGGACTTGGTTGCATTTTTTTGATTCTGAGGGAGTACTTTCCATCTGGGAACAGCTGCTTAGCAGTGTGTGCAGAGCAGATGTTGGAATTGTTGGTGCCATGGCTTTGTCGCTCTCTGGTTGGGAGCTGTTGGGTGCCATGGCTGGGGCTGTGGGTGGCTCTCCCAGGGTCAGTGGGGTCACTGCTCTTGTGTGAGTGTAGAGAGCTGCTCTGGGGAGGGCGGGGTGAGGGCTCAGGTGCTCTCAGGAAATACTGCTCAAAGTTCAGCAGACAGGCTCTTAAAAAAATTAGGAAGTATAAAATTAATATTTAACCAGATTACTACGTTTTGTCTGCTTCATTAATTCTTTATTAACTTATGAAAATGCTGTTGATGGAAGTAATATTGACAGGGTGTATTGTTTTGGTTTGATTGCTGGGGTTTTTTTAATATCTTCTGGTAAATGGAAACTTATCTTCCTTATGAGCACAAACCATCTAACAAGGCATATAGGGTAAATGCTCTAATAAGACAACAATTATTAGGACATGATCCATTAATGTTTTATGTTGTTCATAACTCAGCTTTAAGAGATTAATAATGAAGATGTGAGGGGAATACTGTCTTAAGTGTTTATGATGATGTTAATATTAAGACAGTGTAGGAAAGGAAATTGCTTTCAGGTAGTTGCCCTTATTGTTTGTAGAGAGAGCCTTGTGAAGGAAATGTTCTTTCTATTTTCTTCCAATAATTCTTAAGCAGTTCCGCTCAGCTGAAGTGATGGGAACAATTCTCCATGACTACAAACCCATGAGAACCTATTATAGCTCTTCTTAAAAAATAATTCCAAGTAGCCTGGGCTGCGAATCTTTGGCCCCAAATTACTGGGGAATAAGATTTCCAGAACTTTACTTAATTTTGGAAATTTTGCTGTTGTTCCTTCTGTGTCTGAAACAAATCCTAATGGCTCAGAACTTTGATGTTATCTGACCTGTGCATTCAGACTGGCAAAGACACAAATGAAAAGCTGTCCTTCCAAAAGGCAGAGAAGAACACTTGGAAAGTTTGGGGGTAGTATTTAATCACAGGAACAGATTGAACAAATATAAGGAGAAAGAAAGAATGAGTGGAGTGTAAGCATGGTGGAGTTTTGTAAAGCTGATTAGTTGTGGGCACAGCAAAACCATTCTGAATGCAGGTATTTTTTTTCTACCTCTTTTTTAAATCTTAAGCAGTTGCTGAGTATTCTCCTCTCTTCAAAAAGTCACTGAAACAAAAATGCCTTTTGTAGGAGAGGAGAATTCTTTGCTGTGTATTAGAAACCAAAACTCTTCAAAGTGGGCTGTGTAATATTGATGCTGCTGTAGGTAGAATGAAAATGTAGTATTGATGTCTTTATGGAGTATTTCTATCTGTCCCTCTTCTGTCACAGAGTAAATGTATCTATGTGGCCTTCACTTGGCTCCACTCTCCTGTGCTGAAGTTTTGCTCTCTGCCTTCAAATCTTTATCACACTTTCCAATCAGAACCTGAGCCCAGCAACAGTTGAGCTGAGCTTATAAGATCCTGAAGTGAGATGGGAGTTGAGCAGTACAAGTTTGCTCCCACTTTCAGCACACCCCAGACTTGTCTGTGCCTTCCTCCTGCTTCCAAGTGCCTGCACGGGGACTGTTAATGCTCAGACCTAATGTGTGAAACACACCACTGTTTATCACAGCCCAGCAGGCAGGATACAGATATTTTCAAACAGCACTACTGCAGCCTTATCTCAATAGTGCTAATATTATCCCCTGCCAAAACAGACACGATGTATTGAAGTATCTGTAACCATTACAGGATCTCTGCATATTCCCTGAATTTAGCCTGCAGCAAGTCTGTCATCCACGGCCATCCTGACGTTGCAAGAAGCAGCTTAAAAGTGTCATCAGGGCAGTGGTGCTGACTTAAAAGCAGTGTGGGCACTTCTGACCTGTGAATTGAGACGTGTCCATTAAACCAGGCTGACTGCTTTCCCACCTTCCCTTCTGCTTCCTTATGTCCTGGTAGTAGTTCACTTTCCTGTCAGATAGAGGAGGGGTTCAGGTCATAGCCACAAACTAGCTGGCATCAGAGCTAGGGTTCAAAGCTGTCCAATTTTAATACTTAACAAAATAAACAAAATAGTGTTTTTTTTAATCCACCCAAGTCTGTCTAAGTTTTGGGAAAACTTACTTTATTTCTTCTGGCTGGATTGAACCTAACTCCGTAAAGCAGGAAAAGAACAAGTCCAGTACTGCAAACCTTTTTATGTGTTATTATCGACAGTATTTGTGTACAGCAGAGCTCAATTACACCACAATTGTGCAGAGATCCAATCTTCACAATGTAATGACTTCCTGATGGTCTGTCTATAAATGAGAAATGAATAGAATGTGCCACCTTCCAGCTGCATATACCACTATTCTTTGGGTGGGTGAGGGAAGGTTCAAACCCTTTGCGTTACAGTTTTTTCCAGCCTGTCCTCAGGTTATGTTATTTGGATATATTTCCAATGTTGTGCAACCTCCCTGAAATGCATCTTCCTGAAATTCAAAGGGGAAAAGTGGCTGTTTGGGGTTAATCTCAGGATTTTACAAAAGAGTTTAGATCAAATCAAAACCCTTGGCTATTGGGGAACCACAGGTCTTCTTGATCATGTAAGTCCCTCCATCACCCACTCCAGCATGGCACTTCTGAAATGCAGAAATCTGTCACTTCTGAGATAAAGCCACTAATCCACCTCTCTCCTTGACACATCCTCTGTTCAGTGGGCAGATTTCTTATACGGATATTTTCTGTCACTTTTGCCAGTACTACCTCTGTGTCATAAGCTGATGGCTTTAACTAGTGATTTTCTGTTTTTCAGATTCAACAGAGAAGTCCAAACACCTCTCTGTGAAGTGTTCTCGGAGTTTATCCCCTGCTGAAAGCCTCCTCTAAGGTAATGGTTACAAATGACAGCAGGTGTATTGTAAACAAAGTTTCTGAAAAACGTTTCTTGCTCATCCAAAGACCTTGTGAATTCTATAGTGTACATTATTTCTCTCAGCACCAGCAGCAGCCTCTGGCAATTTTGCTAGTTAAGTGTCCATAATTGTCTTTATTCTGGTGATTTTTCATGAGTTTTTCTCTTTGTCCTCTCTGAGAAGTCAACTTGATTAGTGCCTTAAGCGTTTTTACTTTTTTTGCTGCATCTTCTCAAGTATTTAGTTTACTTGTCTGTTAAAAAGATTTTTGGTGTTCTCTTTCAGGAGCTTGTGCACTTTTTTTCTGAAATAATATCAATCTAGTTTGGCTGTGATTTGGATATAAACTCATTGACTGTCTGAATTTCAGAAAGGTTTCCAGTGTAATGGTTACTTTGGGGTTCTTTGGTGGAATATTATGTCCAAATCCTTAAGACTGTGTATTTATATGTAAATGCACATTTAAATATATATATATATATACACACCCCTCTAACTTCTGTTGCTACACTGAGAACAAAACTTACACCTTAAGCACTAAGGGAGATAGTTTTTTGAGAAGAGAAGACGTTGTGATGACTGTAAGGTTCCTTCTAATCTATTGATCTGCTTCCTGAGCTGTGGTGATAGTTCTGTGCTTGCAGAACAAACAATATCTGCTGTGTTACAGCACAGGCTGCAGTCCTGGCTTTTTGAGATGCCTGCTGACACTTGCAGCTGTCTGCTTCCATCTTGGGCTTCTTTTGTCAGGAAGTCTTATTATTTGGGAAAATAAAAATGTGTATGTTATTCACTGTGCTTTGGCTCCTTGTTGAATATCAGAGACATAGGATGCAATCAGGAGCCCTTTCAAGTGCTTGCGCTGATTGCTGGTACTGTATTGCTTAGGTGAGGGTGCAGCAAGGTGGTAAATTCCTGACCATGTCTCACTGGTTTGTAGTCTGCTGTTGGAAGGTATGACAGAGGAGGAGTTTTCTCTCTTCCTGTGGCTACACTAGCCCCTCTAATGTATTTATTTCTCTGGGTGTTTAGTGGTGTGTTTTACAATATGGTTCTTTCTCACAGCAAAAACTGATCTTGTCAGCTGAAGATCATGGCACGTATAAACTGGTGACATGAGGGGTTGTGTGTGTCTGCAGCTTCCCTTTCCACTTGCAAGTCCGAGATGCACTGAAAGACATATTTCTGAGTTTTGAGGTCCAGCACAGTAACACCCAGGGATGCACTGCCGTGATTTCACCCTTTGGTCCTGGGGAGACAAGTGTGACACCTACAGGTGGTCACAAGGGTGATGTAATCTCACACATGCAGGTTATGTAGAACTGCCAGAGGAAAAAAATCTGCAGCCCGTACATGGCACAGCCAGGCAAATGTTGTGTTGGAAGACTGAAATATTTAAACTGATTATTCTGGAAAAAGCAGTTGTCAAACTGGAGAAAATTAACCAGGGGAAAACACAGACAGAAAGGTAGAGAAACGTAGGGTGACATTAATTGACAAGGGAAATAATAATCCTGTCTCCTGGCTTTTTAATTTTGTCATTATATGTTGCTCCATCATCTTATCCCAGTGAGTGCCAGCCCCGGTGGTCCCAAAGGCTCTGGGATTTGAAATGCTGTTGTTGAATCTGAGCTCTCACTTTCTCACCTGAAAGGTCATCAGTCTCTAAGAGTCTCACAGACTCAAGTGCACTTTTCAGCTCTGAACTCGGGTTTTGTGTATGCCTTAATTATTGAGCACTGATAACAAGGGGAGAAGAACAACTTGAAATGTGATGTTTGTAGCACAGGCCATTCCTTAAATCGTATTTATTGTATTTGTCCCTTTAGATCCCTGAATGAATTGGTCTGATTGCTCAAGAGGACAACGTTTGGGAATAAATTGTTATACTAGTAGGGTTTTTTTTTTAATAATAAATGTATTAAAAAGAAGTGGATGAAATCCAGAGGATATGCCCCAAACAACTGGGTTGGAATGTACAGCATTGATCCACAGGGATTCTTTTGCACGCTGCACATTGACAGGGTGTGTTAGTGCAGCTTCTCCTGAGATGGAAATGACACTCAAGGAAAATTTAACATAAATTTCAGCAGTGCAAGCCACGTTCTCTAGGGGGGGTTTTGTTGAGATTCAGGTAATTGAAGAGCTCGTGGTTTATGCAGAATTGTTATTTCATACCTTTCTTCTGCATGGGAATTCTTAGTTTGTATCTTTAGTGTCTCTAAATGGGATCAGTTCAGTTTGGAACTGCTGCCTTAGTTTCAATCCCAGAGTTATTTAGGCTCTTTAGATCCACAAACCACCTTGGAGGTCAGTTGAGGAGGAAATTGTGCAGACAGTTCCCTTTGTCTCTAAAAGTTTTCACTTCTGTCTTGCTTTGCTGCCTCATATAATGCATAAAAGAACACTGCCAAAATGACATATTTGTGGAACTGCTTTAAAAACTTAAAGTAGATTGGTTTAGAAACTATTGAAAAATAGAAGAAAATAATTTAAATATAAATGCAAATATTGAAGTAGGTACCTAGACGAATTATAAACCAGGATTTTTGCCAATCATGAATAAAAAAACAAAGCTGCTGTAATTGCTTGTGTCCTGTGAAAACACTGGATAGAAAGAATAAAGAATTACTCAAGTATTTTGGACTTCTCAATGGCAATCAATATTTGCTCATTGGTGATGTTGGGGTTGGTTTTCTGGTGCAGATTTTTTTTTTTTCCCACATACATTAAATGTCCCATTTTATAATAATTTCCAACTGACAGCACATAGGTCTTGTGGTAAAGCATAATTTTTTCGTTGTTTTTTTTTGTTTGTTTGTTTGTTTGTTTTTCCTGTCTATAAGTCTTTCAGAAAATATCTTATTGCAGTTTGGTTCCTTCAAGTGTACTACCCTTGGAGCAGGGCATCCACTTCAGGAAATTTTGATGAGAATACTTCACAGCCAGCTACAACTATTTATAACCTTGAGGCTGTCTTTGATCCTAAATCAGCTTTGAATTACCATTTTAGTTACACTGGAGGGGAAAAAAAAGAGATTTTATCATATCCACAATACAGGAAAATTGGGAGGATGCAGTTATTTTAAGGCTTGTATTGCTAATTATAGTAACTTATTACCATACATTGTTGCTGGCATTCCACAATAGTTGTTTGTATAGAACTTGTTTTGTCATTTAACATGTTCCAGCACTACTTCTTTCTTTCGTAATATGATGGTAGATTATTTGTGTTATTTTTTTTAATAATTGCTAGGATTTGGCTACTGAACTCTGTTAGGTTTTTCCCTTTTGTAAATGTTAATTGAAGGGAGTGGGGGCAGGTTGCTTTTTCATTCAGCTGCCTGGTGTTCCTGTTGCTCAGTGAGTAAACAACAAAAAATATCCAACTTGGTGTTTTAACTTTATGATTAACCTTTTCATCAGTGTAGGGATTGCATCCTGTATTTAATGCCCAATCCATCCTTGTGCCAGTGTCTTTAACAAAACAGCAAGAGGGGCTGCCCAGGTAGCTGCATACTGAGCACTGATATTATTTTGTTTGCAATTTTGCCAAGGGACATCTGAAAAAGAAGTGTTTGAGGAATAGAATCTCCCTGTGACTCCTGTACCAAGGCCTGCAGTGATTATAACAGCAGATACTCCATTAGGAGACTGTTCCCACATTAATGGGGAGTCTCCAAGCTGTTTGCTTTTCTCCCTCTAGATTCCTTGTGCACTGGTGAGGTATTTTTCCTGTCAGCAGTGTGGGAACTTTATAATCAAAGGTTGCATTCACTTAATGCCAGTCTCTGTTTTGAGGATAAAGAGAAGAGACCTGAAGTAGAATATGAAAGCACTGTGGTGGTATTGTAATCTCCAAAGGTGTTAATCAGAAAATGCCAGCAGAAATCTTGAAAGAGCAAAATGCAAATAAAGAAAATAAGGAGATAGGCAGTTGTGTAGAAGTGCCAGAGGACTGTGGCATATTTTATTTTTATACTTTAAGTTCAAAGTAGATTTTTGAGGAAAGGTCTTGGAGCAACATGGTTTTGCCTGTTATGTTGGATTAGTAGCTCTACATGTGCATTTTGACTGGAAATTACTGAAGGTACCCATTCTTCACCTACTGTTCTAGCAGATATCTGTGATAGTGAGACAGTGAGAGGCAAAAGCAGGAATAAAAATGATGCTTATTTGCACAGCAACTTCAGTGTAAGAATTTTTGAATATAGCCTGTGCATCTGCAGGTATGACAGAGGGGCTGGGACTTGTTCATTTCTAAATCCAGCCAGCTGCTTTTGTGTACTTGGAAAGGACATTTGTGTTAAATAGGAAGGGAAAGCAATATACTTTTAATGTAATGTTTAAGATCCAAAATCTCCTATATGTAACTTGGCTGCAAGGTTGGTCGTAGTTCTTTAGGGAATGTTCTTTAGGGAGTGTTCACACGAATAGTTTGCTCACTCATCTATTTATAAATATGATTTGTGCAAGTGATGAAACAAATATTTGTTCCCTTTACAGTACTACTATTTCTATTTGAATTAGTAAAAGAATAATTAATGTGTAAATATTCTTTGGCTAATGGAGAATAAATTTATACCTGCAAAATTCTACTTTCAGATGCATCCCCTTCAGCCAGTACAGTTTATTTTAGATGCCTAAAAACTACAGATTGCTGCTGTATGGTTACACCTTGGCCAAAAATGAACAAAAAGGTGACATGTGACTGATGCTCCCACGTGCAATTATATTCCTGTCAGTGAAAGAAACTATTAGAAACAAGAAAATACACCCTAGAGCTGTAGCAAAGTCCCTGTTTTTTTTGGGTGAGGAGCTTGTGATTTATCCAGGAGATGTTGTATTGCAGCACAGTGGGGCTTTGAGAGACAGCTCATCATAATCTCCAGGGCCGTGACCTGACAGATTAAATAGAACGAGGAGTTTTGTATTGTCAGAGCGATTCTGTCTAGAGGACAAAACATTTTATTTA